AGCTAATGGCTGAGCGAGGAGCAGAGCATCGCTTACCTTCCTGGGGATCGCGGCTCCGTGCCCGCTCAGGCACCCTTCCTCGGGGACTCCAGGCAGACAACGGGTTCGCATCTTGGCCGATGCAGACCCTGGCGCTGGGCAGTACCTGAGAAGTGGACACAAATCACAGGGGCGTTTCAGTCATGTGCCCAGGTCGTCAGGTAAAATCGCTGCTCTACTCTTCCCTTTTGTGGGCCTTCATCTGATTGTCCCCTAGGCCTGTCCCTGAGGCATGAGTGAGGGCAGGTGTGACTTCCTGTGTGAAGGTGGGTTGCAAATATGGATGCAGGTGGTGGGTACAGGCCTCCGCATGTGAAAAATGAAGCCCTGTGGGCAGGCTGGTGTGGCTCAGTGGTTGAGAGAGGTCATGCTTCAATATTTAGTCAGGGGACATGGCCAGGCTGTGGGCTCAATCCCCAGTGGGGGACCTGCAGGAGGCGACCAATTAAAGATTCTCTCTCTCCATCCCACTTCCACTCTGAAATCAATAAAAAAATATTTTATAACAACTGGTAACCATCACCACAAAAAGTCTCTGTGATGCAGAAACACTGGGCGGGCCTGCATGAGTGTGGTGAGTGAAGCTGTCCCTCACTCCTGTCTCTAGGATACGGAACGTGCTGGACCTCAGTTACCGATGAGAACGACGACGGGTGTAGTTCTCACTCATTTTGTTCAGCTTTTCCAAGGAATGTTGGTTTGGGTTTTTTTTTGGAGGGAGTCATCATCGATCCCAGCACGTTCTGGACACAAAGCATTTGCCCAGACACACATTTCCAATTGGCTGACCTTGGGACAGAGAAAGGCTTACCTTCCTGAGCGCCCCAGGGGCATGAGGCAGACCCGGGGCTACTCTTCTTCCAGGACCCGCCCACGTCCGATCCCCAGGTAGAGAGCAAGGTGGTCCCTTCTAGGCAGACGTGAGGCCTTTCATGATGATGCCACCTGGGGAGTGAAGAGAAACCACATGCACATTTGAGAAATTGATTCAGCTTCTCAGGTCACATGATCCACACCACCCTTTCCCCAGGTACAGCCTGCACGTGTCCTTCATCCCTCTATCCCTTAGGGGTGAGAAGGGCGTGTGTGACACCATGAAGTGGGCAGGCAGGCAGCAGGACTGACGCCCTGGGAGGTGCCTGATGAGTGTGCCAAGGGGAAGCTGTCCCTCACTCCTGTCCCTGGGGCTCTGAACGTGCTGGACCTCAGTTTCCGATGAGAACGACGACGGTATGAGTTCTCACTCATTTTGTTCAGCTCCAAGGAATGTTGGTTTGGTTTTTTTGGGGGAATCATCATCGATCCCAGCACGTTCTAAAAAATGGAGCTGCTGGAAGGTGGCTCACTGGGTGTGGCGATGACCTCAGAGTCCTCCAGGGCCTGCAGGACCAGGTCCCACCACTGAGCAAGGAACACTCAGTCCATGTCGGAGGGAAACCCCGTGTGCCATCGGGACACTCAAACAAGCCGCCTCCAGCAGCTCCAAACCCAAAGCTAATGGCTGAGCGAGGAGCAGAGCATCGCTTACCTTCCTGGGGATCCCGGCTCCGTGCCCGCTCAGGCACCTTCCTCGGGACTCCCGGGGACTCGGGCCATCCAGGCAAACAACGGGCTTCTCGTCTTGGCTGATGCAGACCCTGGCGCTGGGGCTGCACCTGAGAAGTGGACACAAATCACAGGGGCGTTTGAGTCATGTGCCCAGGGCCTCAGAAATGAACCCACGTCATTGCCCCTCTTAAGGGGCCTGTGCATCCCTCACATTTTTCTCTCCCTGAGAAATGAGTGGCGGGTGTGACGCCATGTGTGTAGGTCGGACTGCTGATAGGTCGCATGTGTTGTGGGCAGCGACCTCCTAAAGGGAAACATGAAGCCTGTGCCCAGGGTCCTGGACACGCCCCCTGCCTCCCATCAAAAAACGACTGTTTGTACAACAAAAAAAAAACCCCACAAATTCTTACTTCCCACGAAATCATAACTAAAAGCACCCAGATTCTATGAACAAGCCCCTAAGAAGCCTGGATGACCCTCAACTTGGACATTTTGTCCCTGAAAACGGTCACTGGTCAAATACAGGGGAAGGAAACGAGTGGAAGCAGAAACTAACCACCCACACAGAGACGGGCACCATGAGCATACGGCTACATGCATGCAGCCTCCTGTAAGGAGACCAGCCACGTCGGGCAACGCACACTTTCGTACAAATCAAGCCAGTGCCCCTCAGGGACAAAGGGAGAGCACCCGGTGTCTGTGGTCCTCATCGGCCATCTCCGTAAACACTGCCCCGTGGGACGAGGCCACATTCTTATCGGAAACCACACGTTCCCAGGCGTAGAACTCAGGCTCTGACCTGCCAGGAAACCCTGAAGCACCACGGGGTCTTTCAGAAGCAGCATCCTCAGCAAGGCTCCTTTGGCTCAGGGGTGGAGCCTTGACCCATGAACCAGAAGGTCATCCTGGTTCGATTCCCGGTCAGGGCACATGCCCGCGGTTGCTGGCTCCATCCCCAGTAGGGGGCATGCAAGTGGCAGCCGAACAATACATGTTTCTGCCTTATCACTGTTATTTCTACCTCTCTCCCATTCTCTCTGAAATCAATCCTATATAATAAAAGCCTAATATGCTAAGTGTCCCGTCATCGGGTAATCCGTTCAACCAATCAAATCATAATATGCTAATAATAAATATGTTAAGGCTGCTCAACCACTTGCTATGATGTGCACTCATCACCAGGGGGCAGACATTCAACAAATGAGCTGCCTCCTGGTGGTCAGTGCACTCCCACAGTGGGAGCGCCTCTCAGGCGGAAGCCAAAATCATGGCTGGTGAGCGCAGCAGCAGTGGTGAGAGCCTCTCCTGTCTCTGCAGCAGCTCTAAGGATGTCCAACTGATGGTTTAGGCCTGTTCCCTACAGGGAGCAGGTCTAAGCTGGCAGTTGGACATACCCTGAGGGCTCCCGGACTGCGAGAGGGTGCAGGCTGGGCTGAGGGAACCACTCCCCCATGAGTGTATGAATTTCGTGCACCAGGCCTCTAGTTAAGATAATAATTCCCAAAAGACGTAACACATTTTTTTGCCACCATATATCCCCATGATCCAACAATGGGGGAATCCCTACACTGAGGGTTGTGTCTTGCAGGGTGCTCACTCGTGTCCTCATGTGATTTAATAAATTGACATATTGCAGACTCATTAGGTGTGAGCAAACAACATGATGGTTGGATAATGCCCCCGTGTGAGACAGTCATAATGTGCAAAGCCATCCTGTTTTGGAGAACAGCTTTTCTCATTAGAGGTATTGTAGATTTCAGTAAAGACAGGCTTTGCTGGCTCTCACTGAAAGATCAGTGGGTGGACTGAGTCACCATGAGTCCCCGGGGCAAGGCCCCGGCCACACCCTCCAAACTCCTACAGAGGAGGTGCCCAATGGCCACTGTACCTACACAGCCCACACATACCAACCAGAACCGTTCCTTCAGGACCACACAACCCTAGTGAAGAGGCCTGTGACCCTCAGATAGAACAGGCTGAGATGCGACGCACTGGGCTGTGCCTGCATAAGTGTGACAAAGGAAGCTGTCCCTCACTCCTGTCTCTAGGATAGGGAACGTGCTGGACCTCAGTTACCGATGAGAACGACGACGGGTGTAGTTCTCACTCATTTTGTTCAGCTTTTCCAAGGAATGTTGGTTTGGGTTTTTTTTGGAGGGAGTCATCATCGATCCCAGCACGTTCTGGACACAGGGCCTTGGCC